GGTATAGCGGTATAGTGGTATAGTGGTATAGCGGTATAGTGGTATAGCGGTATAGTGGTATAGTGGTATAGCTGTATAGTGGTATAGTGGTATAGCTGTATAGTGGTATAGCGGTATAGTGATATAGCGGTATAGTGGTATAGTGGTATAGTGGTATAGCTGTATAGTGGTATAGCGGTATAGCGGTATAGCGGTATAGCTGTATAGTGGTATATATACCACTATACAGCTATACCACTATACCACTATACAGCTATACCGCTATACCACTATACCGCTATACCGCTATACCGCTATACCACTATACCGCTATATCACTATACCGCTATAGCGGTATAGTGATATAGCGGTACAGTGGTATAAGAGTCATACCCCTATTATTCCTTATACCGCTATACCACTATACCCACACAATGGGTTATTTGATTTCAATCTGAATTTAAACAGAAAAAAGAGCACTTGATTTCAAATTGAAATAGGGGACTAAGGGGACTAAGCTGACTAAGGGGACTAAGATGACTAATCGGACTAACTAAGCTGACTAAGGGGACTATTCAGTGGGGAAGCGCATTTCCCCACATAACACACCTTTTATTTCAGCGTCGCGGCGTGGGGGCGCGAAGCGCCCCCCGAAGAGCCGCGACCCATGCATGTCTCTGTGTACACCATTATTCCTACCCTTAGTTCCCTTAGTCCCCTTAGTCAGCTTAGTTAGTCCGATTAGTCATCTTAGTCCCCTTAGTTCTCATAGCCCACCCTCAAAAAAGGTACCATAGATATAACATATGTCGACTGAATTCTATATATCTTAGTATGTATACATGGTACCCTTTTTTATAAGGAACCGAAGAATTCTTGAATTCTGAATTCAAAGAATTTCTTAGTCCCCTTAGTTCCCATGCCTTGGTAAGAATGCATACTATGGGTTATTTAATTTCAATCTGAATTTAAACAGAAAAAAGAGCACTTGATTTCAAATTGAAATAAGGGACTAAGGGACTAAGGGACTAAAGGGACTAAGGGACTAAAGGGACTAAGGGACTAAAGGGACTAAAGGGACTAAGGGACTAAGGGACTAAGGGACTAAGGGACTAAGGGGCAGTCAAGAAAAGTGAGCTCCAAACTGCGTAAATTTCAAATTAGAAGCTCACCAAAGAAACCAACTATGATGCCAGAGGCCTCGTCTGAGATGCTAGAGGCATCACCTGGAATGCTAGTAGCATCACCTGGAATGCTAGAGGCATCACCTGGGATGCTAAAGGCATCACCTGGAATGCTAGAGGCGTCACTTGGGGTGCTAGTAGCGTCACCTGGGATGCTAGTGGCATCACCTGGGATGCTATTAGCATCACCTGCTATACCACTGGCATCCTAGGTGATGCCTGCAGTATCCCAGGTGATGCTACTAGCATCCCATGTGACGGTACAAGCATCCCATGTGACGGTACAAGCATCCCATGTGACGGTACAAGCATCCCATGTGACGGTACAAGCATCCCATGTGACGGTACAAGCATCCCAGGTGATGCTACTGGAATTACAGGTGATGCAACTAGCAACCCAGGTGATGCTACTAGCATCCCAGGTGATACTACTAGCATCCCAGGTGATGCTAGTAGCATCCCAGGTGATGCAACTAGCATCCCAGGTGATGCTACTAGCATCCCAGGTGATGCTACTAG